CATCACCCAGGGTTCCTTGGAGGCTTGAAACAGAGTCAGCAATAGTAAAGCACCTTTTAAGCTCTAAGAGATGAATGCACGAGAATATCTCATGACTACAGTTGCATGAGGATGACGCCTCCCTCCCGGCCAGCACGGTGAGGACTGCACTTCGCAAGGGCTCCCAGCACACTCTCAACGAGCCATGTAGGTAACTGAAACTACGTGCACTAAGCTCTGTGTCTTATATTCTATTCTAGCTCATTGAAAGGAAACATTCTGGCCTTGAGCCACTAAACTGACTTCACAACCTGTAATGATTGCTCAGACCTGCAGTCTGAGAAACACTGTTTATCAGAGCACATGCTCCAGGTCAGACGGACATGAGCTGGAATCCTGGAGGCAACTCTTACCAGCTGCCTTCTCAGGAGAATTCCTTAGCCTACGGGAGTCCATGTCCTCCTAAGTAAAGTGGGGATATGGCCTAAAGCACGGGATTATCGCACTGACTCCATAAGAATGCAGGGAGGACACAGTACAGTAGTCAATAAAGGAAAGGGTGGTTTTTATGAAGAGTGATAAATGGGACAAGATGTGGAGATGCTGGAATAGGGAATTCTGGTTGTCCTCAGGCATCCAGGGTCCAGTCCTCCACTTTTGGACATGTCTCTCCTTTCTCCTCAGGAGTCCACTCTAAAGCCCAGTCAGGTATGAATCTATGACCTTAGGACTGGATTGCCACTGAAGCCATCCTCCCAAATGTGGTCAAATGAAGCACAAACTTCTTTGGGTAGGCCTCACAGGCACATCCAGGAATCCACAGGATCACCCACGTGACCTGAACCACTTTTGACCCATCAACACCTCCAGTGGTAATGGCAGCGGTTCCAAGGCTTGGAGTCACCAGAGGAACCTGAGGAACTTGATAAATATTGAGATTCTGTGACCAAGTGGAGTTATTCATTCAGAAGCATCTGGAACAAGACATTGAAATCTATATATAACATTGTTTAAAAAACAAACCAACCACACACACAGGCCCAAAATGGCATCACTCATGCTAAAAGCCCAAGATACAGAACCTACACTTAACACCTAATTCAACTGCAGTTTTAACCTCTCCCAGAAATATAAAGTTAATCAACCAGTATGGAATTTTCTGGTCAAGGACCAGTAAGGTAATCTGTCACAGGAACCCTTTCCATAGAAAGAAGAGGCAATCTGAATGATAAAAACCCTGCCATTCTCTTCCCCCAAAGAAAAGATGTCCACATCCAAAAAGAATCCTCTCGTTTTTGTGCTAAGACCTCCCTTGCCCCACTATTCTTGTAAAATCCTGCCATCGCATACAAATCCTCAGAGAGCCTGTCTAGTTGATAGATGAGACGCCACCAAATTCCTGAATCACATAATAAAGCCAATTAAATATTCTAACTTACTCGGTTGAATTTTGTTTTTTAACTACACATGTGCTCACACACTCTAACAAGCACACACACATCCACCCATGGTAGGTAGTGCTGAGACAGACAACGTAGCTGACAGCGAGAGGAAAGTGGAGATTTTTGGTGTTACTCCCATTTCATCATAAAAGAGTGTCAAATAACTGCTTGATTTCATAATGGCAGGTCCTCAATGTCTTCTTTAACCCGTGAAATAGTCTTATTTATAGAAAAACACGTTATACCATAGGAGATGAGCTTAGGTGAGTTGAAAGATTCCACAATTCAGAGAGTTTAAGTCCCTCCAAATCAAAAGTAGTAAAAAATAAACTGAGCAAATGAAGCCATTTACAGGAGTGATTTTGTCATTGAAAATGAGAAGACTCATTGTTCTGGATCAAATACCCATAAATCAGTCTCCCTAGTTTGATGTTTTGATGGTTCTCCAGTTGGATGGTTATCAACCAGTTTCTTTTGGAACCTTAAGCTTTTTTATTTTAATATGTACCACAGGGCATATTTATTGTTAAAACTTGCATGAGCTAATTACATTGAAAATGTTTACAAAAGAAGGCTTTAAAAATTGATAATTTACATCACTTTTATACCAGATTCAGCATTAATTTAAACAAAACTATTCTGAAACATCTCATTGTTACATCCAAGATTTGTAAGTTTGTTTTTATTTCAGCATAACTAGTATATTACAATTTGATTCTAAAATGAGCCAAAAGAATTTAGCAAGACTGCATACAGATTCCTCAAAGTGCACCTCCATTTTCAGTGACTTTAAGGACACCAAATATACGGTCTGTTGTGTGTGACAATATGGGGCAATAAAGCTAAATTGATGTGATGTCCAACCCCATGTCACAAGAAGCCACCACACAAACAGAATAGTATCATATCACTTTGGCACTGGCCAAAATTGTATTTTGTTTCTTAAGTATGTGGTTTGCAGTTTCTAGAGACAACTCCATCTGGTTCATTTTGCTGGAAAAATTCCTTTAATTGGGTTTTCATTGTCAATTGTACTCTTTGTTGATTGGATAACTACCTAAACAAGACCACTTTCAGAGACCTTGCAAAAAACTTCTTTAAAGGGCAATGGCTTAACTTACATAGTCACTCAGAGCTCTCCCTCTGACATGGGAATTTCAACTTATTCAATCCTACATGTAACTTACTTTCTTATTTATGGAGGAAGCACAGGGCCATAATCTTCATGACTGAAGCATATTTGGTGTGTGGACTAGTTATCAGCTATTCAGTAATATCAGGGCCTGGTTTTTTCTAACAATGGGAATAGATGTCTTACAACTTACACTTCTCATTAATTTCCCCTTATGGCCAATGCTTGAATTTAAATTCTAACTAGTATATTACTATTCGATCATAAAGCGTGGACTGAAAGAACTCAGCAAAACTGCAGACAGATTCCTCAAAGTGCACCTCCACTCCCAGTGATTTTATGGACATCATCAGTGGGTTACCTGAAAATTAGTGCTTTTCCATTTCTGTTTACCCTATGTGTTGGCCTCCCCTTCCTTCCCAATATCCTGAATTCAAGGTATGTAAACTCATGGAGCAGTTGTCCAGAAGACAAGAACCAACAGCCCCGCCCCCAACCCTTGGGAGCAGAAGGGAAAGAATTATTCTAAACAACTGTTTAAAACCCAGGGTTCTGCACACAAAACTAAAACCATGGCTGCATAGACTGATGTCTCGGGGCTCCAAAATTTGACCCCTAATGGGCAATAATTTGTTTGGCGTTGCAGTAATCCAGTTTGATGAACTCAGATGCCCTCGGCTCAATAGGCAGGACTCTCCGAGGAGCCTGTGTTACTTCCCTCACTTAAGCGCAGATTTGTAATAAAAATCTTAATTCCAGTGACATGGATTTTGGACATATAAGAAGCTAACCACTTGGAGAATCATATTTGAAAGGTCAGAAAACTCCACAGTTAAAGATCGGTTTATAATTTACGAAGAAAATAGAAAGTTTTGTTTCTCAGAGTTGAAATCTGAAGAGCACGGCGGGAAATATTGCTAGTTTCTGGCATAAAGTTTTGTGGTTTCCTCATCATTTGAGACCTGGGTGAAGCCTGAGACTTCGGGGATCACTTTGTGAGCAAAACCGGGCAATTCGGTGCAGGGAATTTTTATATTTTGGGCATTTTTCGAGGTGTAACAAACACAACTCGGGATCCGAGAGGACACTCTGCGGCTGCCAGCGAGGCGGGCTGGACAGCGCACCAATCACGGCGCAGCTCCGCCCTATATAAGCGCGCGGGCGCAGCGGCGCGGCCCGAGTCCCGGCCACTGTTCCTCTTCCGGCTCGAGTTCGCTTCCCCACGCTCGCCAGCAGCATGTCCGAAACCNCAGGAGCGAAAAAGGCAAAGAGTCCGAAAAAGCCGAAAGCAGCCAAGCCCAAGAAGGTGAAGATGCCCAAGAGTCCGGCCAAGGCCAAAGCGGTGAAGCCCAAGGCGGCCAAACCGAAGGCCGCTAAGCCCAAGGCAGCCAAGCCAAAGAAGGCGGCCAAGAAGAAGTAGGTTCCTTTGGCCAACTGTTAGAAATACAACCCAAAGGCTCTTTTCAGAGCCACCCCAGATCTCAGGAAAGGAGCTGTTGCACTTCCTACGGGG